ATGCCTACTACACTATCAAAAATATAGTGTATTATGTATTCCATCGTTGGCTATATGTTTAGTAGAATTGTTTTTTGTTGTATAAAATTTATGTTAGATGCAGGATTACAAAATAAATAAATAAAGTTAATTGCAATTTAAACTTTGACAGAGAATACAAAATAATAAACAAAACTTCACAGAATGGACTTTGAAACAAACTCTAACACAAAATTATTATTCATATTTTTATTATTTAGAAAAGTTAAATTGATTCTAAATTTACATTTACTACCACTTCGCAAGTCAAGGGCGTAGATCGGGCAAGAACAGGCAAGAAACTCTCCGGCACTCTTTTTAATCGCATAACTGGAGCAAGTCAATCCCAAGGATTAGGATCATTGAAATAATCGTCAAATTTATAAATCTTTATTGATTATTTTCGTTTAACGAGTGTTTTGAATTCATTCAGTGGTAATTCTCTAATTTCTTCTTGTAAAAACGAATACAATTTCCATATAAGGAGTGGTTTATCTTGTGGAGCATGGTTGGTCGTACGCTTAGATTTGTTCTGTTTCGAGTATTATACTGGTGAAAGTCATTTATTTTTACGAGCTGATCCAGCTTAATATACTACGTGCGACATCTCAACTAAATTAAAGGCTTATGGTAAATACCAACTTAGCCGAAATCATATTTAAGCTGTAGCTCTCTTTTTAACCTGTGCATCTTGCTCATGGGCGCATAGAAGCACTTCACTCAGGCATTTACAAACTTTTAGGCAGGCACATTACAGAAGCCAGACAGCAGTAACTGTCAACTAAGACATGGGTTTAATGTACAGTTAAAACTGTTCGCAGAATATGTGTTCGTACAGTGGAAGTGAATTATAGAAACACTTGTATTTGGTCCAAAGAACGTTTATTATATTTTTAAAACTATTACAATTTTCAAATCAGTGTATTTGACTCTACACACACAAGAAGAAGAGACTAAGTACAAGCCCATAGACACAGTGCAGAGAAGACACCACAGATTAAAAAACTGTTATAAAAAATTGAATGTTGCCTTATTTTAACAAAAATAAAATATAGTAACCCAATGTCACTTTTTTGTTTATAAAACATAATATGTTCCTACTAAATAGGTATTTTTCATACCTTTAGTAAAATAATTAGTTAAAATAGAAGAGAAGCAGAAGAGAGCAGTGATAATAAATAATATAGCTATTCCGTTTTTTACACAACGATATGGCCACGCGTTATCGACTTTTGTGGCACAAACAAACCCTAATAACCTAATATCTTAATCCTTAACACCTGTGCAAAAGTTTTACAAATGACCGTTTATTACACCGACAATTGTAACAAAACAAAGGATTCTGGATCGAAGGCGTAACATCTGTTCTCACACCACCTAATTGCTTCCACGTGTTTGCCAACAAAGATTACCTTTACACAAACGATAATACTATTGTTAATAAATTGCCAATGCGCAGGTAGAAAGTTAAAATGTGTACTTACAAATCATATAGTCGTTACGATAGCTGTGAAAAGTTCGACAGTTTTATTAACAGAAATATCGAAATTTTTAAATAAAAACAAAATCAAACTAATGGCACGCTTTTAACCAAAGTACTGTTTCGTCCCTATCTGCTAAATTGTGTAAGCTATTATGAAGTGAGACAGATGCAGTTAATCTGATATTTATAATAGCGTGTATAAATAAACGAAGAAAACTAAAAACAAAATTACTCGGATCCAAAAAATGTATGAATAAATTTAAGATTGTATAATACTTTCAATTAATACACCTATACACACAAGAGTGTCAAGATTTCTTCTAAATTTGTTTGGGTTTTTTGCCTGCCTATCTTCACAAAGGCTTTCGCCGTTCATTGATGGTTCACTATGAATGGTTTACCTGAGGTGAGTAACGTATTTGTAATAAGGTTCTATTTCCGCTTAGGATTTTTTGTATGCCCGGATGTACGACAAATTGGTTTGGACCGTTAGGTACGGTTTAAAGTATGGGAATTCTTGGTTTGAAAGAAATGTGAGTAGATCCAAGATTGCTTAAGGGTCTTATAAATACTTACCGTATTTTACATGTAATTTTTGGTGACATTCTAACTCTTACTTTTTCAAAGAAATACCCTAATTTTATATAATAAAAGCTTTCCTTTTTTTTACTTACTTTTTCTCACGGAGTGCTTTATTTATATACAAACTAATCACTATAATTGTTATTATTAAGCCTTTATTGCTGAAACCCTGTAATATATATGTATATATAAACATTTGTTTTAGTTACATAACCTAACTTAAACTCATCAGATGTGCCTGTTTTGGTGATCAGCGTGTCCTGTGATTCATAGGCCAGCTGCTTCCATTATTGTCTAATGTTAGCTCTTCTAGTCCAAGATGTGCCTCTTTCAAACCTGTGTCAGGGTTCCCAGCTCTTCCATAACAAGCTTTATAACTTCCATGTATTTTATTTTACTGTTTACAACACGGTTGAGTACATTAGTGAGTGTGGGTGCTTGTGAGTGAATGAGTGTGTGTACTGTGTAACTATGTGTTAGGTCTCAGGAGCATCTCAAACTCTGCGTCAGGTGTTCATAAGCTTTTAACCGTTTTTTGATGACCGCTTTTAACCGAATGATTTAATTATTTTTTAATTCATGTTTCGCAATTACTGCATGTTGGTGTCAAATTAATCTTTATAATATTACAACTAGATTCGGTAAGCACTTATAATGTAATCTGACTTCATGGCCATTCGGTAGCACAAGGTTTTTTTAACGAAATTAATAAATACTTTTATTACTTAATCTTAATCTTCATATCCCTTGTATATAAATTAACTTAACAATAAATATATTGAATTCTCCTATTACACGGCCAATTAGTTTAAATAAAAAATATTTTTATTAAATTATTTGGAGTGCAATTTGAAGTAAAAAAAGAATTTAACATGGAAATTTTAATAAAAATGTAACAAGTTTGTGCCTAATACATTAGTAATTTTCCGATTCCAAAGTACTTTGAACTGGAGGTTTCCTTCCGGAATTGGACCTCCAGCAAACTTTCAACATAATCCATATTTTTTTGTGGTCAGTCGGTTCGGAAGCCGTGGGAAGGTTTTCTCACCAACAAAGATCAACTTAACAATTACTAAAATATTTGTACAACAATAGAATCTACCTGTTTTGTTTGTTTATTGCAACAATACATTTGTATGAATGACATTCTTTCTTATATAATTATTATATAGAGAGTATTTATTTAATTTTAATAAATTTACATATGTATAGGCTCTGTTAGAATATTAATATTTATGAAATAAGTATAACTTTATTTTATACAGTTCAAGACATTTTAAGATACTGTATTAATGTAATATAATTCATCAAATATAGTATCGTAATACAGCAAGGAAATGCTGCCAGCGTTAAAGTTTTACTATGCCACAGAGACCAAACTTTTTAAATTTATTTTAATTTTTTATTAATTAATTAATTATTATTATTATGTAGGTTAAGAATATTTTTAATACTGTATATTTGTGTGTTGGAATTAATTAAATGAATACAATTATTATTCATCAAATCGTAAGTAAAGTAAGCTGACTGCCAGGTAGAGGTAGAATTGTGGTTACCTTCTTATTATTGTTTATATTATGATAAATATAGCAAAGTACAGTAGAGTATTTTAATTTAACTCTAAAATTTATGAACCTAAGACTTATACCCACATTTCGAGTCTTTTACATTAATCAATTAATCAAGGCGACCCGTAACTATTTTTTTTATTGAGATGATAGTTATACATTCGCGTTTATACCCGTTAAAGAAAATTTACTAAAGTGTGTAGATTGCATAAACCAGGGACAATAGATATGTATATGAATAAGGATGTACTCCAAAGTATAACCACCTTTTAGTTTATTCTCCTTAATATATATAATTATTTGATACCAAAATAAAGGATTCAATAAAGCGCTATGATATCTTTGAACTACTTAAAAATAATCTAATATTGAACCGGATGTAAGCTAGAATATTGTAGAAAGCTGTCGTAGCTGCTACGCGCGTAGCGACCTACGAAATCATTTCCATGAAAACCTTTGCTACGAGTACTAACACTTACTTAAAGCGTTAGTACTTACTTAGTTTAGTAGTTTAACTTTACCTGTTAATGTAATTCTAGAAACGATGTGAATATACAAAACTAGTTCGAGTTTAAATATATTAATTAGTACACGTTTGTAATAAAGTTCTTAATTGTAAAAGAACTTAATATTTTAATAAAAGAAAATAGATTACATTGATTGAATAATAAATATATTTAATAATGTTTATATATCATATAAATAATAATAATATGTTTTGTTAAACATCTATGGCTAAACGACAATAGCTGAAAGAAACTAATAAACAATAATATATAAAAAATATATCAGGACTAATGAATAATAACAAGCATACAATATTTTTACCATAACAATTAGTGCTATATAATATATCAATTTTATTTATCAAAATACGATGTTGAAGTGTTAGTTTAATTTACATCTTTAAAAAAATATCAACATAATAATTATAGTATTTATTAAATACATATACACATATACATATAATGTTGTTTTTTATTTTATACGATTGCCAAAAATTAAAACTGTTCTTTCGTTTCACACTGCACAAAATACCTACGAGTACCTACTTTTAAAAAAATGATAACACAAAAATGGAATCAAAATGTCCCCTTCCCTAAGAAGGCAAAAGCTAACCTATCGCCTAAACAAGTGAAAAGCTCACCCCAATCAGGCGCTAACCCACCGCTAATTACAATCGAGTTTGCAAATTAATGATGGAGCGAGATAAATCGGCGCGTGCCCAGTATCGAGACTATTTCGGTGAGCGCGGGGCGTGAATCAGTGGAGGGAACAGTCGTGCGCCGGCTGCGGCAGTGCGGGGTCGCCACGTGAGAGCGACGCGGATAGTGCGCTGCGATGGCGCGATGAAGACGTGCGGCCGCGCGGCGTTTTGCTGGGCCCTGCTGTGCGTCGCTGGCATCCTGGCGGCGCCGCGCCGCCCTTACTGCGAGCGGGCGGACGTAGCGTGGCGCGCCTACCGGGCCCCGGCAGCCTTCGAGGCCCGCGTCCAGTCGCTCGCCAAAGACGCCGCCACGGTCCAAGTGCGCCGCGTCCTACGCCGCCAGGGTCGCTGGCCCAGGGAAGATGCCATCATCCGGCTCAAACTGCCACTGGATTCACTCGAGTGCTCTGGACGTTTCGAAGTGCCTTTACAGAATCGAAAGAACTATATAATTTTCGCGGAGAGAAGGGGCCACGCCGCCGTGGCTCTGGGTCCGCCGTTGAGACGGACCGGCAAGTTGATGAGGAGGATACGAGCGGTCTACAAGCCTGGTTACAGTGAGTGTCTTGTGCTTTTTGTGCATGGAAGTTGACGGCGTCGAAGCTTTGCGAGGTATTCTGCGTTTGAATTACAATCGTTATAATTCGAGCTTTCAACTTCTGTGCTGCATGTTAGATTCTGTTTATAATTTTAGAGTGAAACTTTTATAAATGTCAAGTATGTTAGCCTCTCGAGTTACGACAGTTGACGAGAACTAACAATAGAATTTGCGATTACAGCTTTGAATATTCTGTTATGATTCTAAAAAACCTAATTGTCGTTTAATTCACGCGAAGATAACCTGCTTTTGCATCTTGACAGGTGTCAACAAAGTTACATGATCACGTTAATTTAAATTTAAGAGGTTCCAAAAAGATTGAGTACATATTTTCATTCCAGCTATGAGTTGGCTTTTAAAACTGTTAGATCAAGCCTTTGCTCATGTGCAAAGGTTGAATTGTAATCGTATTATCAAAGTAATAAATGTTACTGCCAACAAATAAGCCTAGGCAGGTGTATCGTACAAACGAGTCGCCATTATGAATTCATTTTAGGTGCAGTGTAAATAGTCAAACGTGGTCAGTGTAGCAAAACGTACGTAGAAATACTAAATGTACTTAGCTTGTCCTTATTATGCACCCTTCACAAACGGTTATGAGTAAAAGAAGTTTAATGCCGACTTAATTGCAGTTAAATTTTTTAAACGCATCTTTTAATATAGATTAAAAGTTTGATACCGTTTCTAATTTGAATGAAATTTTACGTTGAATAATTATTATGGTTACATTTACCCATGTCATGGCACTCGACACTAATGTGGATAAAGCTTCCGAAATTACATTTAAACCACGAAAGCTTACAGCTTACAAATTTTACAGTGCAGACGTTACTTTCTGAAGAAATCTTTTCAATATGTTTTTAAGAGGAATCGTATTATAACACAATTATTATAGAGTTAAAAATGCGTCGAGTACAATTTTGGGTGGTTATCCGAAGTGTATGTTTTAAGCTTACATACCTATCCATACCGCTTGATAATTTTAATCCCTATCAACTTAAGACAAAGTATGATTCGATTGCGTATAGGAATTGTAATGTGATTCCCAACCTTTTGTGTGCCGTGCCCAACTTTAGCCTTTCTTTAATTCCTATGCCCCCTGAATCTAATATAATTTTTAATATAAAAATTTAATTGCCTGGTTAGTTTCTTAAGAAAGAATTTACTAGGAATTTTTTAACGAAGCACAGTAAGTAAATTTTCAAGATTTTCACTCATCATCTATTAACTAAATAAATTATTATTAACTGTTTACTCTTATAAATTTTATTTTATAATCATTTATATTCTACGTTTATAGTTTGTAGATAGATAAATATCTATCTACGTAATAAGCTAAAAATTTAGAATCGGATAGTTTAGTAACTATCTATAGTAGAGAATAAAATTAACTTAGCAGTATAATATGTGGAATTTGTGGAATTTTAACAAAAGGTTCTAATGTTCCGGAAATAGGGACAAGTGTCAAAAAATAAGAGTTCACGCGATCTGCGCCAGCGCCGCAGTAACGCTACATTTGTCAGGACAGGTCGCAACTGGAGCGTATACTGACGTCATTGTTACCTTTGATTGATCCGATCAAATCTGCAATCATCACTATGCTTAGAATTGAAATAAGTAGTCCTACAAATCTACCTATACTAATAATTAAAACAGAAAAGATTTGTTTGTTTTATAAATTAATGGCACCGATTTTAAATATTCTTTGACCATTAGAATGATGCATTACTCCTAAAAAGCATTTATTTCTTATATCCTTACAATAAATGTCCATACACGCGAAAGGACAGGATACTAAATGTGTATTTTATTTTACATGATCACCTCAAAAAAAACCTTATAAACGCGCCCTAGTATCAGAATAGCCACTCAGCCGAATTGGTTATATTATATTAAGTACTTATTAGTTTAAATTAATTAGCTTACTAAGCGTCTATAGATTTATTTAAAACAAAATAGGAATTAATGTTCAAAAACTTTTGTTACCTGATGTTATCATTAAATTGAGTAAATTAGGTAATTTTTTATATCTACTGAACTTCTGAAAAATATTAAAAATTTAACACCTTCAAGTGCATTCCGTGCAGTGTAAAGAGTAGAGACATGTCGAGACTTGCATTATACTATATGCAATTATTTCAACTGTCAAAAACCTATAATTAAATGTGTTTTATACAATAATAAGTATAACACAGTATTTTTATCATCATCTTCGATTACCTAACAATAAGTGCGTTAAATGAGCCGCTACATTTACTTAGAAACAACAAAATTACATTAATATAAATTTAAATATTTTTTACGCTGTCCTATTATTTAAATAATGACATCATATTATTTTATATGTGCGACATTAAACACACTTTTAATAAGTAATAACAATGTTTAAAAAATATTCACGTAACACAATACACAGTTTTTATTAAGATAGTGTGGGAACAATTATTTTTCTATTATTATTTGCGACATTAAATGTTAACGTACTGCGAAATATAGTTTTAATAATGAAATATATATTAGGTTGTGGTATTATGTAATCAGAATATTTCGACGTTCAATGCGTAATACATATCAGTTTTAATTCAATTTAATACCAGTAAAATAAGGGACATTTGATAAGTTTTCTACTCCATGATTATTCTCAATTCTATACAAGCCTAACATAAATTAACCTAGTAATTGAAGATATTTGATCAGTTTACGTCAATTTTAACATTTATAGGATCACCCTTGCCAAGTTATAAATTATAGTAATAATTTTGTGATTTCCAACAATTCGATATTGTTTGTTGTGTATCAAGTACATGACACTGATAAGGAACGACGTAAGTGTAATTATTAATTAAATTGAGGAGCGTTTTCCTTGTTTTAAAAAGTGTTTAGAAATTTTACTAAGTAAATTAAAAAAAAATCGCATATTTTTGGAATTACATTCTGATGTATAATAAATATTATCAGAAGGGATTTCAAGATTATTAAAATGTGTCAAGATGTACTTCTGAGTCATATTTAACAATGCGTTGTAATCCGGTATTTTTTCTTCATAAAATGTTCTTATATAATAATAGTAATAGTATAAGAGTAATAGAAAAGTCGCTCCCATCAACTAGTACAATCTAAAATAATTGATAGAGTAGACTATTGAATCATTGCCAAATTCTTTAATAAAAATCTGAAAAAGAAATCTTATCTATAAACACAAAAATCTGTGTATTTTTCAGTCTGGCACACATTTTGCAACAACAGAAAATCTGCCACAACTTTTGACAAAACGTCCGAGATATTTAAGAGCATAACCATTTTAAAAAGACACCGGTTCACCTCAGAATAAAGTAAAAACGATGGATAGCAACCAGATAGATAAACAAATTGCTAAGAAACAAGAACGAAACGTAAACATTGTAAGCGCCACTTCTGTTTAGCCCACTTTTGATCTCTCAAGATAACTAATAAGACACCTGAATATGTATTTTTCTTACATTACGCATTAAGCTTATTGTCAAAGCTTCAAGGACGATTATGTCTATCTCTATCCAAATATAAGAGGTATACTATAGACATTTTAGGCTTGTAGGATCGTTGCAGTCGTTTATGCAGTCCCAAGTGTTTAAAAACGATTTTATAATAGTCGTTACGGCTTGGCGATTCTTGATTATCCGCGATCCGCTTCGTCGGTCTTACTGTCCTAACTATATTCTTGTATATAAAGGCATGACTACGTTTATTTGTAATAAATGTACTCGCGCCCCTGGTTTCGTGCTCTCGTACTTTTTGCGACCTCTACAACCAGAATATATTTTAGTTAATCATGAAGCCTTAATGCACATAAACTTTATCAGGAATTTAATAAAAACCGTACAAAAATGTGTCACGACGTTTTCGAGTAAATCGTCCATATACACATTTGCGGCAATTTTACATTTCATAAGCTGACCCAAACTTTAACCCAAAGAACTTTAAGGCTTATGTTTTATATAATTAAACTTAACACTGACTGAACTTAGCCTAAGTACGACTCCAGTATAAATACACATGTTTGACATACGAGAGTATATCGCTGCGTCTTAACTACTTAGACAGTTATTCAGGCTTACAGCAAGTCGGGCCTGGGACTAGTGCTTGACTAGTAGTTTTATTCAGAACACAAAATCTATTCAGTATTAGATATTTACTTAAAAAGTATACAGTTCTTAGTTAACCCTTGAACTTATGACCAGCTAGTCTCATGGGAAGTCGCCAGTCGACACTGATGGCTGAGTCTGCACAATGGCTTTGATATACCTATATCGATATGTCCTTGTCATTAACGCGTACTTCCGATACAGATACAATGCCCTCTAACGTATGCATTGTCAGCTATAAATAATACTAGATACATAACATGTCGGCGCATTCGTTGTGACCGCTTGAAATAAGCTACAAGTGCAAGGGACGCAGAGGGTTATGCCTATTTAGACATGTATTGAACTAGATTTTGAGGTTAAAATTCTTATTTGAAAATTATATTTTAATTATTGTACCTATTTGGACGCTTTGTGTGATGACGCGTGTTACATTTTCTTTGTACAGATTACCTTCATATTATTATGTATCAATGTTTCAAAATCAAAATCAAAATACGTTTATTCAATTTAGATGCTTCTTAGAGCATGCTTATGAATGTCAACAACGTTTACAAAATTCACGAAAGAGCAAGACTACGCCATCCGTTCGCAAAACTACCAGGAGGCCTTGTTCTGAGAAGAACGGGCAAGAAACTCAGCAAGTTTGCCCTCCCTTTACATTACAATTATTCAAAGGAAAATGTCATAAACCACAACGTCATTAAAATTACATAAGTAAAAAAAAAATAAAAAATCTGTTCTGTGATTTACCACATTCACCATTACACACATATTCATAACACTTCAAAGATAACAAATCAAATTATAAGAATATAATTAGAACTTTATATTACGGTAGTGTCAAAAACTAAGTAAAGATAGTCGTCTATG